ACAAATAGGCATCAAAAAAAATAATAATAATAATAGATAATAAAACCCTATCCATTTCCAGAATGCAGGTAAAATTATGTAGTGGCTTTTGCTACATATTTCGGTTTCCCTGCGTTCCATGGGACGTAGCGATGCTTCATCATGTGTTTAATGCGACTGCCCATTTGTGTCACTGTCAGTACAATAAAGTACAGAAGAAGAATCGGCCAAAAAACGGGAATGTCAAGAAAGTTAAAAAGAGTCAGGAAAAGGCAAATGGATACAACCCGAAACATGCTTTTCCACACCACAAACTCCTGAACACGTGGCACAAAAGGACGAAACTCTCCATCATTACCAGCGGCTGTTCGTGGAAGCGGAGAGTCCTCCGCGAACTCGTCCTCTGCAAGAGGCGTAACAAGCAGCAACAAAAGGTACAGTAAGTGAATGCCCATGCCGTACGTAATCACGTAAAAGCCCCCATGAAAAAACACACGAATAATATAAAACATCAGCAAAAAGCCAAACATGGCCCACCGCATCGCACGGTGTGGCACAGTCTTGTCGAGGTAACGTTGATAGGTTAGGTGAGCCTTGCGCTTAAATTCATCCCAGGCCGAACTTTTTCCTGTGATGTCTCTCGGTGGCATTCTCCTTCACTACTATTCTTTTTTTTTTTTAATTCCTCTTTCGTTGTTGTTGTTGTTTTTATTTTTATTTTTATTTCCCCCACCCACCCACACACACACACTCTCTCTCTCTCTCTTCCTTCTTTATTCAATAATGTTTTCCCCTTCCCTACGACTCAGGTTTTAATTTGGTGCCTCCCAATCGTTTTGTTTTGTTTTCTGGTCCCCGCCACCCCTCCCCCCCAAAAAAAAAAAAAATTCCGCCTTTTTCCAGAAGCAATCGGTGGCTCCCTTTCTCTCTCTCTCTCTCTCTCTCTATATATATATATATATATGCCTGTAGAAACCAAAGAAAAAAAGAGTATGTGTCTAGAAAGTCTTTCAAGTGCCTAATTACAAAAGGATAACACCGCCTTGCGAAAATAAAGCCGCGGACTATTCATGACGCATGCAGTGGGAACAGGGCAACACCAAAAGACAGGGTGTCACAAGGCGTCCACGCATAATTACAGAGAAAAAGGAAAGAAAAAAGAAAAAAAAGACATACATATACATTATAAGGAAGCCCGAATAGAATAAGAGGAAGCAATCCTATCCACATGTAAGCACATACATAAATATATATCTTTTAAAAAGGAAAAATGTGTACGCCTACGACTCCGGTATTACCAAGAAACCAAAAGAGAAACAAGATAGCATCCATCCCATTCACCAGGTCTTCTTTTATTTCTCTTATCCGTAGTTCACCCATTAAACGCAGTGGTTATAAGCGCGTAGACAGCCAAGAAGAAAAAAGAAAAAAAAAGTGTTCTCTCATTCATCCTCAAAGATGCGATCCACTTGCATTCGCTGCATGTCATACTTGTGGTCTGCGCCAACTCGGCCAGAGTTCTCTAATTCCTCCACCCATCCCGCCTTCGCGTTCGGGTGGGCGTCACAATATGGCAAGTACGGTTTAATATCTAGCACCGGTGTGCCGTGAAGAAGGTCATGGTCGGCAATGTGAACCTCCAGCCCCTGCACAGCAACGAGCCGCACGCATGAGATACCAATAAAGTTTGGCCGGTGCGGACTTCGCGTCGCAAAGACCCCACGCAGCTGGCTGTCCCGTGGTGGCACAAGCATCGTTTTGAATCGGGCTGAGTTTTCGGCGCCTTGTCGCCGTCGCCGCTGAGTTCCTC